GAGAATGGTGCCTTTTAACCCCTGTTACCCCCGGATTTCTATGTCATAATTGCAATTTTAAGCTGCTTTTACGAAATAAAGCTTTTTTTTTACATGAAGAGAAGCAGTCTCATTTCGATCACAGAGCTTTGATTTGGTTAATAGTCACATCATAGCTGCAAGGAAGTGGCGTGCTTGGTCATCTCTGGTCAGAGAAGTCTGATAATGCAGTGTCGAATTGAAGAGAAGGCCTGATTAAATGCAGTGGGTACAGGCTTTTGGATGAGTTTGAACTTCTTTATGAGACCCAAACAAAAGAACCAGCAAAGTAACTATAGCTATGGCAGCCCACCCAACTGCTATGGGGTCCAGGGGAGGGAGAGGGCCCCATAAGGGAGGTTTTTGAGGCAAAGTTTGCAGTCTAGAATTTATGAGGCTGTTCTTGCCTGATCTGCTTCACCATTGCTGACACTGGCCTGTGACTCAACTACTCTTCTGCCTGCTGTTTATGCCTGATCTGCCCGCCTGTTATGACCCAGCTTGTCTGACTCTGCATCCTACTCATCCAGCCTGCTACAGTTCCTCCAGTCCAGCATGCTTTCATCTGGCTTCTGCTTCGCCAGCAAAGCAATATTCCAGCCTGTCTGTGACTAGCTTGTCCCGCCTGCTTCATCTGGCTGCTGTCAGCTGCTCCAGTTTCCTGGTATCCTCCCAGTGAAGTATTGGCCCACATCCAATCCCTTTCCAAATCATGCCGCCTCAAGCTCCGCAACATCTCCAGAATACGCCCCTTTTTAACCAATGAAAAGCTCCTAATTCACTTCCTGGTAATCTCTCGCCTCGACTACGGCAACTCCCTCCTCATTGGCTTACCTTTACATAGGCTATCCCCCCTCCAGTCCTTCATGAATACTGGTGCCAGGCTGATCCACCTTACAAACCGTTCAGTGTCTGCTACCCCTCTCTGCCAATCCCTCCATTGGCTTCAACTCGCTCAACGAATAAAATTCAAAATACTAACAACAACTTACAAAGCCATCCACAATTCTGCCCCCAGCTACATCACCAACCTGGTCTCAAAATAGCAACCAAACCGCTCTCTTCGATCCTCTGAAGACCTTTTGCTCTCTAGTTCCCATGTCACCTCCTCCCATGCTCGCCTCCAAGACTTCTTACAAGCTTCTCCCATCCTATGGAACTCCCTACCCCAATCTGTCTAGCTGTCTCCTAATCTATCCACCTTTAGACGATCTCTGACAACCTTTCTCTTTAAAGAAGTCTATCCTGCTTCTACCTAATAAACCGCCATTTATTTGCTCCCTCAGCTCATCCCCCCACAGCTATTACCTTTTGTATCACTCAACCCTTCCTCCTAGATTGTAAGCTCTAACGAGCAGGGCCCTCTGTTTCCTCTTGTACCAAATTGTATTGTAACTGTAATGTCTGCCTTCATTTTGGAAAGCGCTGCACAAACTGTTGGCTTGGCGCTATATAAGTCCTGTATAAGAATATTAATAATAATAATACCAGCACAGACTACTGGACTGACCATGGGCACTCATACCTCGCCGTGCTCTCGCAACTACTATTCCACTATCAGTGGCCCCGAGCTGGAGCTGTACAAGAGGCCTTCTTCTTCACGTCATGCTTACTAACCAGGTACGTGACAGACAAGCTTACCTGCTCTGTGCAATGATATTGCACAGAATATCTCCAATCCTCCTATTCTTAATAGAATGAATTAAAGTAAAATACTTTCTGCTTTTGAACCACTTTAAAGCCTTAAATGACAGCTGAGGTTTGTAGCTCTGCAAACATGTTTGTATTAGGGTATGAAAGCAATATGCGCAGGAGAACTGACAATTGTGTAATCATATGAAATATCCTGATGGTTATTATTGCTACTAATAAAATATAAAAAGTGAATGCCATACACTGTTGTTGTTCTCTTACCAATTCTATTCGCAGCACTACTCCCTAATGTTGTACTGACTATGCTGATAGCTGTCCTCCTGCCTTTCCCTGATTTAGGTATACTTTATGCTAGGGTCAGTGACAGTATTGTCTCAGTTCACATTGCCAGTTGCCAGAGAGAGGTCACTTAAGGTTCCATCAAAATTTTGCCATAGAGCCCCATGATCTGTAGTTATGCTCCTTCAGAGAAGGTCCCGGGATTATAAAGTAAGCTCCTTAGTTTACAAATACTGTAGTGAACCTGGTGTGCTCTATTATGCAAATTGTAATGACAACTCGGAAGCTTACTAATCGATAGAGAGCAGGGGCGGACTGACCATTTGGAAACTCTGGCACTGCCTGAGGGCCCGGGGTCAGTAGGGGGCCCCATGAGATGCCCCTGGTACCTTTTTCATAGGCTTTTTTGAGTTTGGGCAAGGACACGGGCCCCATGATCCCCTATTGCCCGGGGGCCCCATGAGTTGTCAGTCCGACCTTGATAGAGAGCTAAGGGGTGGATCATTGCCCAAACTTCTGAGCTCTGTATAATAGATTTGAGGGTTCCAGTGTATCTTTGAAAAAAACTAAAGCTGCACACAGATGGCTCCTGTAGAGTATTGGGCTCCAGTTTTAAGCGGAACTGCACTCTCTCAATCAACTTTTACTATTTTGACTATTTGTAATCTTTATGCTAAGAGCATTAATAAATAAATAGGAACGTAAATTATGTTTACATGTTTTAAAGATTTTTTTTTTTTTACTTTTCTCAAGTTACTTCCTGATCTAGGCAAATGATTTCATACATCCCAGGGGTTTTCAAGAGGGAGGAGGGGTTTTCTCAGCTAAGCACACCCTCCTGTCTGTATGCATGAGCTAAGGGCAGATGGAGTCCAGGACGTAAATGCTACATGAATGCCCTTGCTCAAGATGGCCATGGCCAGAAATGCTAGGGGGATGTATTTCAAAGTTATTTCTCAGCAAAATAAAACATGGAGACAGGTATGGATGGATTGTTGAGTTTTCTCTGAATATTAAAAATGAATTAAATAGTGTTTTTGGTTTGTGATGTTCAGATGCAGCATAGGTCTGCTTTAATATTTCTGAAAAGTTTGCTTTTGCAAATGTCATTGCAAGATTTGCATAGATGCCAGTTGACCTTAATTTCCAAATATTGTTTGCATTTTTTATCAAGACTCCACTGTTTTTTATACTACTGTTTACTCAGAAAATCCAGTATGAAAAGTAAAGCAGCCTAGCTCACCATTGTTCTGTATATCATCATTGTGTTGAGTAGGGAGCCATCTTGTACAAAAACCTCAGTGTATGTTGGAACAAGAAAGCTGGCACATGCTCATACTTATGTGCATGCTCATAATTCTGAGTAGAGATGAGCGAAGTATTCAAAAATTTGATTCGACTGATTCGGCGAATTCGTGGAAAAATTTCGATTCGAGTCGAATATATTCGCTGTGAATTTAACTTAAAAAAGGGTGTTTCTAGGCTTCAGAGAGACTTAATATTAGTGCAGAACACTGTACCTTTAATTTAAATGCCCTTGGAGTCTGCTGGGGAAGAGAAATAATACTGTCAGTCAGTATGACATGCAGATGATGCCGTCGATCTTAGAATCACCGCACACTTCACTCATTTGGGCAGTCACGGGGCCAAAACCAGAGTGTGGAGCCACAGTGTGGCGGTGGAGGCAGCAGCAATGGGAGGCCATACAGCACCCTATGACAAAAATGGAAACCACCAGCAGTGTGAGGAGACCTGAAAGTGGCACATGGCAGAGTGTGGCGATAGAGACAGCAGCAATGGGAGGCCGTACAGGGACCCATGACACACTCTGGACCTGGCAGCAGCATGAGGAGGCGGTACAGGGGCCCATGACAGATTACGGGCCTGGCAGCAGCATGAGGAGTCGGTACGGGGGCCCATGGCAGATTACGGGCCTGGCAGCAGCAATGGGAGGCCGTACAGGGACCCATGACACACTCTGGACCTGGCAGCAGCATGGGGGGAGGCGGTACAGGGGCCCATGGACAGATTACGGGCCTTGCAGCAGCATGAGGAGTCGGTACGGGGGCCCATGACACACTCTGGACCTGGCAGCAGCATGAGGGAGGCGGTACAGGGGCGCATGACAGATTACGAGCCTGGCAGCAGCAACTTGGTCAGGAGGACGTTCAGCTTCTGCACCGTCGGGGTGCGTGCTCGCAAACTGTTGTCTCTTGGAAACGGATTCCAAGAAAGACTGCTGACGGAATCCGTGAAGAGGAGTAGCAGGAGAAGGAATCTGAACGAGCGGAATATGCCAACAAGCGACAACAGGGGCCCATGACAGATTACGGGCCTGGCAGCAGCATGAGGAGTCGGTACGGGGGCCCATGGCAGATTAGGGGCCTGGCAGCAGCTATGGGAGGCCCGTAATCTGCCAGCACCCTATGACAAAAAATGGAACCCACCAGCAGTGTGAGGAGACCTGAAAGTGGCACATGGCAGAGTGTGGCGATGGAGACAGCAGCAATGGGAGGCCGTACAGGGACCCATGAGAGACTCTGGACCTGGCAGCAGCATGAGGAGGCGGGTATAGGGGCCCATGGCAGATTAGGGGCCTGGCAGCAGCTATGGGAGGCCCGTAATCTGCCAGCACCCTATGACAAAAAATGGAACACACCAGCAGTGTGAGGAGACCTGAAAGTGGCACATGGCAGAGTGTGGCGATGGAGACAGCAGCAATGGGAGGCCGTACAGGGACCCATGAGAGACTCTGGACCTGGCAGCAGCATGAGGAGGCGGTATAGGGGCCCAGCAGATTAGGGGCCTGGCAGCAGCTATGGGAGGCCCGTAATCTGCCAGCACCCTATGACAAAAAATGGAACACACCAGCAGTGTGTGAGGAGACCTGAAAGTGGCACATGGCAGAGTGTGGCGATGGAGACAGCAGCAATGGGAAGCCGTACAGGGACCCATGAGAGACTCTGGATTGGCAGCAGCATGAGGAGGCGGTATAGGGGCCCATGGCAGATTAGGGGCCTGGCAGCAGCTATGGGAGGCCCGTAATCTGCCAGCACCCTATGTCAAAAAATTCAAACACACCAGCAGTGTGTGAGGAGACCTGAAAGTGGCACATGGCAGAGTGTGGCGATGGAGACAGCAGCAATGGGAGGCCGTACAGGGACCCATGACAGACTCTGGACTTGGCAGCAGCATGAGGAGGCGGTATATAGGGGCCCATGGCAGATTAGGGGCCTGGCAGCAGCTATGGGAGGCCCGTAATCTGCCAGCACCCTATTCAAAAAATTGGAACACACCAGCAGTGTGAGGAGACCTGAAAGTGGCACATGGCAGAGTGTGGCGATGGAGACAGCAGCAATGGGAGGCCGTACAGGGACCCATGACAGACTCTGGACTTGGCAGCAGCATGAGGAGGCGGTATATAGGGGCCCATGGCAGATTAGGGGCCTGGCAGCAGCTATGGGAGGCCCGTAATCTGCCAGCACCCTATGTCAAAAAAATGGAACACACCAGCAGTGTGAGGAGACCTGAAAGTGGCACATGGCAGAGTGTGGCGATGGAGACAGCAGCAATGGGAGGCCGTACAGGGACCCATGAGAGACTCTGGACCTGGCAGCAGCATGAGGAGGGCGGTATAGGGGCCCATGGCAGATTAGGGGCCTGGCAGCAGCTATGGGAGGCCCGTAATCTGCCAGCACCCTATGTCAAAAAATTCAACACACCAGCAGTGTGTGAGGAGACCTGAAAGTGGCACATGGCAGAGTGGCGGCGATGGAGACAGCAGCAATGGGAGGCCGTACAGGGACCCATGAGAGACTCTGGACTGGCAGCAGCATGAGGAGGCGGGCGGTATAGGGGCCCATGGCAGATTAGGGGCCTGGCAGCAGCTATGGGAGGCCCGTAATCTGCCAGCACCCTATGTCAAAAAATTCAACACACACCAGCAGTGTGAGGAGACCTGAAAGTGGCACATGGCAGAGTGTGGCGATGGAGACAGCAGCAATGGGAGGCCGTACAGGGACCCATGACAGACTCTGGACTTGGCAGCAGCATGAGGAGGCGGTATATAGGGGCCCATGGCAGATTAGGGGCCTGGCAGCAGCTATGGGAGGCCCGTAATCTGCCAGCACCCTATGTCAAAAAATTCAACACACCAGCAGTGTGTGAGGAGACCTGAAAGTGGCACATGGCAGAGTGTGGCGATGGAGACAGCAGCAATGGGAGGCCGTACAGGGACCCATGAGAGACTCTGGACTTGGCAGCAGCATGAGGAGGCGGTATATAGGGGCCTATGGCAGATTAGGGGCCTGGCAGCAGCTATGGGAGGCCCGTAATCTGCCAGCACCCTATGTCAAAAAAAAATTCAACACAGCAGTGTGTGAGGAGACCTGAAAGTGGCACATGGCAGAGTGTGGCGATGGAGACAGCAGCAATGGGAGGCCGTACAGGGACCCATGACAGACTCTGGACTGGCAGCAGCATGAGCAGCATGAGGAGGCGGTATATAGGGGCCTATGGCAGATTAGGGGCCTGGCAGCAGCTATAGGAGGCCCGTAATCTGCCAGCACCCTATGTCAAAAAAATTCAACACACCAGCAGTGTGAGGAGACCTGAAAGTGGCACATGGCAGAGTGTGGCGATGGAGACAGCAGCAATGGGAGGCCGTACAGGGACCCATGACAGACTCTGGACCTGGCAGCAGCATGAGGAGGCGGTATATAGGGGCCCATGGCAGATTAGGGGCCTGGCAGCAGCTATGGGAGGCCGTAATCTGCCAGCACCCTATGTCAAAAAATTCAACACACCAGCAGTGTGAGGAGACCTGAAAGTGGCACATGGCAGAGTGTGGCGATGGAGACAGACAGCAGCAATGGGAGGCCGTACAGGGACCCATGACAGACTCTGGACTTGGCAGCAGCATGAGGAGGCGGTATATAGGGGCCTATGGCAGATTAGGGGCCTGGCAGCAGCTATGGGAGGCCCGTAATCTGCCAGCACCCTATGTCAAAAAAATTCAACACACCAGCAGTGTGTGAGGAGACCTGAAAGTGGCACATGGGCAGAGTGTGGCGATGGAGACAGCAGCAATGGGAGGCCGTACAGGGACCCATGAGAGACTCTGGACTTGGCAGCAGCATGAGGAGGCGGTATATAGGGGCCATGGCAGATTAGGGGCCTGGCAGCAGCTATGGGAGGCCCGTAATCTGCCAGCACCCTATGTCAAAAAATTCAACACACCAGCAGTGTGTGAGGAGACCTGAAAGTGGCACATGGCAGAGTGTGGCGATGGAGACAGCAGCAATGGGAGGCCGTACAGGGACCCATGACAGACTCTGGACTTGGCAGCAGCATGAGGAGGCGGTATATAGGGGCCCATGGCAGATTAGGGGGGCCTGGCAGCAGCTATGGGAGGCCCGTAATCTGCCAGCACACCCTATGTCAAAAAAATTCAAACACACCAGCAGTGTGTGAGGAGACCTGAAAGTGGCACATGGCAGAGCAGAGTGTGGCGATGGAGACAGCAGCAATGGGAGGCCGTACAGGGACCCATGACAGACTCTGGACCTGGCAGCAGCATGAGGAGGAGGCGGTATATAGGGGCCTATGGCAGATTAGGGGCCTGGCAGCAGCTATAGGAGGCCCGTAATCTGCCAGCACCCTATGTCAAAAAATGGAACACACCAGCAGTGTGAGGAGACCTGAAAGTGGCACATGGCAGAGTGTGGCGATGGAGACAGCAGCAATGGGGGAGGCGTACAGGGACCCATGAGAGACTCTGGACCTGGCAGCAGCATGAGGAGGCGGTATATAGGGGCCCATGGCAGATTAGGGGCCTGGCAGCAGCTATGGGAGGCCCGTAATCTGCCAGCACCCTATGTCAAAAAATTCAACACACCAGCAGTGTGTGAGGAGACCTGAAAGTGGCACATGGCAGAGTGTGGCGATGGAGACAGCAGCAATGGGAGGCCGTACAGGGACCCATGAGAGACTCTGGACCTGGCAGCAGCATGAGGAGGCGGTATATAGGGGCCTATGGCAGATTAGGGGCCTGGCAGCAGCTATGGGAGGCCCGTAATCTGCCAGCACCCTATGTCAAAAAATTCAACACACCAGCAGTGTGTGAGGAGACCTGAAAGTGGCACATGGCAGAGTGTGGCGATGGAGACAGCAGCAATGGGAGGCCGTACAGGGACCCATGACAGACTCTGGACCTGGCAGCAGCAGCATGAGGAGGCGGTATATAGGGGCCCATGGCAGATTAGGGGCCTGGCAGCAGCTATGGGAGGCCCGTAATCTGCCAGCACCCTATGTCAAAAAATTCAACACACCAGCAGTGTGTGAGGAGACCTGAAAGTGGCACATGGCAGAGTGTGGCGATGGAGACAGCAGCAATGGGAGGCCGTACAGGGACCCATGAGAGACTCTGGACCTGGCAGCAGCATGAGGAGGCGGTATATAGGGGCCCATGGCAGATTAGGGGCCTGGCAGCAGCTATGGGAGGCCCGTAATCTGCCAGCACCCTATGTCAAAAAATTCAACACACCAGCAGTGTGTGAGGAGACCTGAAAGTGGCACATGGCAGAGTGTGGCGATGGAGACAGCAGCAATGGGAGGCCGTACAGGGACCCATGAGAGACTCTGGACTTGGCAGCAGCATGAGGAGGCGGGGTATATAGGGGCCCATGGCAGATTTAGGGGCCTGGCAGCAGCTATGGGAGGCCCGTAATCTGCCAGCACCCTATGTCAAAAAATTCAACACACACAGCAGCAGTGTGTGAGGAGACCTGAAAGTGGCACATGGCAGAGTGTGGCGATGGAGACAGCAGCAATGGGAGGCCGTACAGGGACCCATGAGAGACTCTGGACCTGGCAGCAGCATGAGGAGGCGGTATATAGGGGCCCATGGCAGATTAGGGGCCTGGCAGCAGCTATGGGAGGCCCGTAATCTGCCAGCACCCTATGTCAAAAAATTGAACACACCAGCAGTGTGTGGAGACCTGAAAGTGGCACATGGGCAGAGTGTGGCGATGGAGACAGCAGCAATGGGAGGCCGTACAGGGACCCATGAGAGACTCTGGACCTGGCAGCAGCATGAGGAGGCGGTATATAGGGGCCCATGGCAGATTAGGGGCCTGGCAGCAGCTATGGGAGGCCCGTAATCTGCCAGCACCCTATGACAAAAAATGGAACACACCCAGCAGTGTGTGAGGAGACCTGAAAGTGGCACATGTTTTGAGGCATGATTCATGGCGGATTTAGTCAGTTGTGTCAGGAACTGGTGGTTTGAAATCCAGACTAATCCACGCCTGATTCATTTTCACAAACGTGAGTCTCTCCACACTTTGGGTGGACAGTCGTGTCCTCCGCGGAGTTACAATACCTCCTGCCGCACTAAAAAAACACGCGCTCTCCGATGCCACGCTACTGGCCGGGCATGACAGCCTTTCAAGGGCAAATTCAGCTAGTTGGGGCCAAAGGTCAAGTTTCGTTGCCCAGTAGTCAAGGGGATTGTCTACCTCGGTTGGCAGGGTGCTGTCCAAGTAGGCCCAAGCCTGTTGTTTGAGGTCCTGCTCCAGGTCCACCTGATGCTGCTGCTGCTGCTGCTGCTGCTGCTGCGGCTGGTTAGTAGTTTCCTCACTGCGCTGGTGAAGAAAGCTACTCATCATCGACTGCAGACTGAGGCAGCAGCGCTGCTGGTGGAGCTGCCACTGCTCCTACCACCCCCCCCCCTCCCCTGCTGCCATGGCAGCGGAACGCGAGCGCACAGGGCCCACAGTGTCTGAGGATGGACGTTGGCGCACAAAGGCAGAGACCAACTGACTACATAGGTGGTTTTTATAGTACGTTATTTTGGCCTCCCTCTCAGCAGGTGTGAAAAAGGCCACCATTTTTGAACGGTAGCGAGGGTCCAACAAGGTGGACAGCCAAAAGTCATCCCTCTGTCTGATGGTTATTATTCGGCTGTCGCTACGCAAGCAACCGAGCATGCTATGGGCCATTTGTGCCAAGGAATGCGAGGGACTCCCTGCCTCCATCTCCACAGCATACTGCCACGGTGCGTCTGGGTCCTCTGTCTCCTCCTCCTCCTCCTCTACCAGATGCTCCTGCTCCTCCACTCCTGTCCGCTGAGTGGAAAAACCACCCATTTCACTCAATAATTCCTGAGCACAAATGTCCTCCTCTACCTCCTCCTCTTCTTCCTGTCCTGCCCCCACAGGGGTCATGTGGCGTTGAGATCTGTGCGCCACGTCTACCGCACCCTGACCAGCCATTGTTAACAGCATTTGTTCCAGGACGTGCAACAGAGGAATGACGTCGTTCATCCCATAGTCCTGCCGACTCACGAATAGCGTGGCCTCCTCAAAGGGCCTGAGCAAGCGGCAGGTGTCACGCATGAGCTGCCAATGGCTGACATCGAAGTTACACAGGGGAGTACCTTTATCCGCTTGTAACATCAGGAAATCGGTGATGGCCTTTCGCTGTTCGTAAAGGCGGTCTAACATGTGTAGGGTTGAATTCCACCTTGTTGCAACGTCGCAGATCAGGCGATGCTGTGGAATTCCGTTCTGCCGCTGCAGCTCAAGGAGGGTGTGCTTTGCGGTGTAGGAATGGCTGAAATGCATGCAAAGTTTACGTGACATTTTAAGGATGTCTTGCAGTGGGATGGTGGATTTTAGGAACCGCTTGACAACCAGATTGAACACGTGAGCCATGCATGGCGCATGGCACACAACCTTCCTTGACGCAGAGCAGACACCATGTTCTTTCCGTTGTCGGTCAACATGGTTCCGATTTTCAGTTTGCGCGGAGACAGCCATCTGTCGATTTCTCTGTTCATTACACTCAGAAGTTCCTCCCCTGTGTGACTACGTTCGCCAAGGCATACCAGGTGCAGCACAGCGTGACACCGTTGCGCCCTGCACATGTGATATGCCGGTCGGGTAATGGGACTTGGCACGGGGGGGGGTGGCGGCTGAGGACACGGCGGAAGAAGAGGTGGTAGAGGCGGACATCTTTGCCGGACCAAGGACGTGCAAACGTGGAGGCAAAAGCGGCGTGACCTGTCCAAGTTGCTGGTGCGGCTGTGACGGCACCACGTTCACCCAGTGGGCCGTAAATGACATGTACTGTCCCTGACCGTAGTTACAGCTCCACACGTCGGCGCTGCCGTGCACTTTGGCAGAGACCGACATGCTCAAAGACTGGCCCACCATCTCTTCTACATGTGAATGCAGGGCTGGCACTGCCTTTTTGGCGAAGAAATGACGGCTTGGCACTCTCCACCGCGGCGCGGCACAAGCCATCATTTCTCGGAAAGGTGCTGAGTCCACCACTTGGAAAGGGAGGGACTGCAGCACCAGCAACTTGGACAGGAGGACGTTCAGCTTTTGCACCGTCGGGTGCGTGCTCGCAAACTGTTGTCTCTTGGAAACGGATTCCAAGAAAGACTGCTGACGGAATCCGTGAAGAGAGGAGTAGCAGGAGAAGGAGCATCTGAACGAGCGGAAGATGCCAACGAGCGACAACTCCCCTCAGCAGAGGTGTTGGAGCCTTGACTGGCTGATGGAGGGCGATTGACGTCGGGTGACGGAGCAAGTAACGGAGCGGGTGATGGAGCGGGGGCTGGGGCGGGCAGAACCGCCGTATCTTTATCACGGTTTTCCCAGGCCACCAAATGGCGACGCTGCATATGCTGCCGCAACGCTGTAGTCCCAACATGGGCCCCCTG